CGGAATTGGACTTCAGACGTCAACAAAACCCAAAATATTACTCTTTAATTCCAGCTCATCAATTTGATTTCTAGCTTTCAATCTTTTTCTAACGAACACGGACAATCTATCGTACAAATACGATTTCAAATAATTTTCCTCGCCATAAAAACAACTTATTATAATCTAATTAATAATTTGGGGACCAAATTGTTAAAACTAAAAATTTTAGGAGTGAATATAATTTTTAATTACTAAAATTAGGGACTAAATCGATCTTAATAAAACCATTATGCCATGATCATAACAATATGAAAGCTAAGAGACAAGGTTGAACTTTTATAAGTTAGATGGCTTATCTTGTAATTTCCCCCTTTTTTTAGCTACCTCCCACGTGATTTTAATGTTCATATATAAAATCATTTTTTAATCCTTTCTTTCCCAGTTCTTTCCTTTCCTTATTTCTTTCTTTTCTCCAACAACATTTGTAAACGTTGTGACTTGTAAAAGATAATTAAAAGCTCAACAAAACCAAGTTTGCAGAGAGCTTGAAGTAAAAGGAAACTATTCATCACTTCATCGAAAAAAATCAAGAGTACAAATCATTTGTATATCTTTTAATGCTAATTGATTCCCCTCAAACAACTAAATTTTGTTCGACTCATTACCAAAAACCCATAGCTAAACTCCGAAAGTACTTCATATCCAAATGAACAAACCGTAAGTAGCCATAAACATAGCAAAAATGAGGAGGAGAAGAAAAGCAAGAATTACCTCCAAATCGATATCCAAAGTCTCGGCAACATGTCGCATAATAGAATGAACAAGTTTACTCTTGTTATACCTTTCTTCACAAGCCTGAATATCTTCCTCGCTAACCCTTCTCTTACTCAAATCTATGTAACCCTTTTCTTTATCGACGTGGAGGACAATCACCAGCTCGGTTCAACTGAATTTGATTAGACTGTTGACACTAAGAATCCTACGATGGGAGAGTTCCGAGAACAAGATCATGCCTTCTATGTTGTTATATTCAAGGAGCAAAACGTGGGCGCCCATGTCAGCGATGTTCTTCACTTGTATCATCAACGCCATATCTACCTCCGGATAATTTGCTTCGTACATACGACATTCTAGGTTCGGTATTTTCGCTCAAGCAATGGAGTATTTTTACCTCAAAACGTTGGTTGTTTGGGGATTTTGAGCTTGAAGATAAGGGCTTTGAGGTGAGCTTCTTACTTTAATGCAACCACTACCATTATTCTGCTGAAATCATAAAATAAAGAACAACTCTCCCCACTTGTGGTCTTCATTTTTCATTTAAAATAATAATAATAATAAACAAATTCACATCACTAAATAATGGACATAATTCACGTGAATTTTAGAGTCCTCTAAACCTCATATTCAACTAAAAAATTAACCCCGCCAATTGGGGGTGACAGAGTTAGCATGGGAAGTTATATCGTACGGCAGACTTAATATATGACTATGGAAATACGCTACCGATTTATTTATTATTTTTTAACAAAACCGGTAAAAAATTACTTAAAACATTATTATTTCTACCTAAAACATTAACGTTTTTAACATTTTCGTTAAATTGTCCAATAATAACAAAACCGATAGAAAAAATAATGTTTTAGGTGACGCTTTACCGGATATGTTAACAAACCGGTAAAACGCCCAATAATAACAAAACCGGTAGAAATAATAATGTTTTAGGTAATTTTTTTACCGATTTTATTAAAAAAATAATAACAGAACCGATAACGTCTTTCCTTAGTCGTATATTAAATCTGTCGCACGTGATACTTTCCCGATGTAACATACCTATCAGCTCTTTTGTATCTTTCTTTTGCTGCCTTGTTGGATTCTCAGGATCCAAACAATCATCGAGAGAGAGAGAGAAAAGTGCATAATAACTGAAAAACACAAGGAGGAAAAAATCAAAAGCAAAGGCATAAATGAGAAGACCTGAGCAGTAAGAGTGTGTAGAAAGGCTCTACCATCTTTTGTCAACAATAACGTTGTAGTTGTATTTATTTATTTTTAAACATGTTTGATTTTATTCGTTTTAATTTTTAATATCTGTTTATTTTTTTTAAAGTGTGTGTTCGATTAACATTCACGATGTTCATTGGTAAACGTAATAAAAAACCAAATATTTAATTTTCAGTTTAATATATACTTTCATCGATATTTAAAATATAAATATAATGAATAAACTTATATACCAATCAATATTAAAAAAAACTTATTCGTAAACATAAACGAGACAAATATACCATTTTTTCGTGTTCAACAGTTTATTAAATGAACATAAATATTTAATTTACACTCATTTATTTTTCAACTGTTAGGGACAAAGGTTGAAATGGTCCGAATTTTCAGGCATCTTCTTGCTTGACTGAGAAACACAACGGCTGGAAGAAGAGGAAGTTAACTTTCACGGGTGGCTATTTTGGTATTCACCGTTAGTTTCGGTAGTTATTGAAGACAAAACTCGATTCTTCCATGAAAGCCAAAACTTACGAAGGTCAAGCAACTACCTTTTGAAAGAAAGCTAAAGCAGATTACGTTATTATCATCCAACTAAAACTGAAGATGATGCTTCATCTCCTTCCAAAATGCCCACTAATCATTTCATATTTTCTATTACTAGATTTTTGCATCAGAATGTGAACTTACAAGAACTGAAGTGGAAGAAGAAGAAGAGCAGGGAAACAAAATTTCACAACAACAACAAAAATGATGATTCCCTACTTGGTTCATCCCTTCGAGTTTTAGTGTTTTACCCCTAAGCATATCATTGCACGAAGACTATAAGGACCGGATTCCGGTTAGCAAATATATTTGTCGGATCTTCAACCTGTTTTAGAAAGCCGGGTCTTGAACATGAGAGAATGGACGGTAGCTAATCGATCAGCAGGTAGCCGAGACCGGTTTCTCTAGACTTGCCATGTATGTCATGTAGACATTCCACAAATACGAAAATGAATTGCTCACCAGCGGCTGTCAAAATGAATGCCATCAGGAATAAATGAACTCGAAGGTGCAGCGCGTAGGTGAAGGGTTGTCTTGTTCGAACATATTCGAATAGTTTCCGTGAGTTTGGGTTGTTAATTTGTTAATTAAATAAATGTTTTTGACGCGATAGCTTCTCCGTTTCTTTTAACGCCAAGTGTCTTTCTAATTCCACGTAACCAGTCAACCTTCAAAGTTTCGAAGCTCTTCTTGTAGGTTTGAGTCCAAAAAGCTGACCTTTGCAGTTACGTCCCTGGCAATTTTATTTAAAAATCACACAAAATTTTAAAAAAATTGCCAAATTAATATCGTTTCCTTAAATTTTATCAAAATAGCACACTTTTTAATAGAAAGAGATAGAGGCGCGTTTCGTGTAAAATATTTTACACAGGTGGCAAAAAGGCGGCGGGACAGCTGAAAAGCGCGTCTCATGGGACGAGCTTTTCCCCAAATTTATCTAAATCATATTTAATAAAATACACCTTAAAAAAATTAAAAATAAAAAAAAATGTTCTTATAATATAATTTAGCACATATTAGTTTCACAAGATAAAAAGTCTAAGAGTGTTAGTTTATATAAACATGGTGGAGTGCTTAACTTATATTTGCTAATAATGTGAGATAAAAATTAAAATAAGTTATTCTATCTTTTTTATGTAATATTTATTTTATTTATTTTTACTTAATACTTTAAGATAGAGTTTTTATTTTTACTATTTAAATATAAACTAGAGTTTATAGCTATTAAAAATAAATATTTTTATATGTTAAAATATTAAAATATTTATTTTTTATTTTTTCTATGATTGATCGATGTAAACATCAACAACTCTGAATTATAACAATTCTTCCCAACAAACTGAATTCTATAGAAAAATACATAGAAAAAAATCTAAAATACATAGATTAAGTAAACTTAAAAGATAACATCAGTTCATTAACTACTTAGGTAAGTTTGTTCATGAAATTTAGTAAATACCATAAATAAACATTTATTTATTCTTTAATATGAACATGTAAAATATAAATCCAATGTCATCTTATTTTTTTTATTTGGACAAATTTTCATTGTTTTATGTAGTTGAGGAATAATGGGAACAAAAATGAATGGTTCTAATGAGATTGGCATACAAATGAAAACACACATAGAGAAAAATAAAAATGAACTATGTCTGAATGACATGTTTTAGTTGTCTAGCATGTCCATTAATATTAGCTTTGTATTTATTAAAAGTTTAAATATAAAGTACAAAATATGAATTGTTCTTTAGACATATATGTTGATAGTTTGGTTGAGTGATCTACAGGTTGGGGAGAGAAACTGATATAATTTAGAGTTGTTGATGTTTACATCGATCGATCATAAAAGAATAATAAAAATAAATATTTATTTTTCACATATAAAAAATATTTAATTTTAATTAATATAAACTCTAATTTATATTTAAATAGTAAAAATAAAAAACTCTAACTTAATATATTAAATAAAAATAAATAAAATAAAGATTACATGAGAAAAATGTAAGAGAACTCATTTTAACTTTTGTCTCACATTGTTACCAAATATAGTTTAAACACTTCACCATGCCTATATTAACTTTTCCTCCGCCGCTTGAATCTCTACACAAGACGGTCCTTCCTCATCGATCAGTCGAGTTTGTGTCATTACCAATATGATGGGGCCAACGATATGATGGTGCCAATGATATCCCATCTCATGCCAAACTTGTTTCGAAGGAACGCAATCTCTAATCACAAATACATTACTTGTTGGGCATTGCAAACAAAATGTTCTATCTGTGATGGATAAAACCTTTGAAACTGATAATCAAAATCTTGAGAAATCATCCATGTAAATTAACATATATTCACCAATAGATGGAGTTCCATGCATCACATTAAGACTAAGCATTTCCAAGAAAATTCTTCCAAATTTACAAGGAAACAGAGAGAGGTAAGCGAAAATAAGCAACAAAACACAGAGAAGCAAAAGGTAAACATGAAAAATGGAAGCTTCACCACATTAATTATAATCCAAATCAAGCAACAAGCATCAAGTCCATGCAGATTCGATCGACACCCATGATAGAACATGACACGGCAATTACAACATGAAAATCGTCGTTCAACCTTACACGCTTGTGAAAGAGATTTTAAGTAGTTAAATCATACATCATAACCAAGGTAACAAGATAGATGCTTGCTACAAGCCGTCTCAACTTCCACAGTTCGTTATTGAGTTCGGTGTGCTACTTTTTAAGATGAGGAAAACATGTGTATAGATCAGATTTAGGATGCTTTGCCTCGGCATGCTCCCGGCACTTCACTTCTGATGTAGTACAGATGAATGTTTGCATGCAAACCTTGCACTGTATTCAGCCACCACAACCGACCAAATATGATATCATAGAGCAACCGAAGAGAAGGCCAACAAAAAAGCAGTTCTGTCAATGAACTAAATAAAACGTGCCCGACTCAATTTAATAATATCAAACTAAAGATGGGGTCACTGAATGAAAAATCAAAAATAAGAAAGATTATTTGAAAGCTACAAATTTGCTTGACTTTCATGCAATCAAAGAACAACTACTGCCAAACCAGAAACAAAACAAGAGTTTGGCAGTGGAATAAAGAACGTGAATTGCAGTGTTCTGCAATTTTCACTATCTATTCAAGGAATTGTCATCACAGTTAAGAAATGGTTGTTGAGCAGGTCCAAAGCTTAAATACAAAGATACTAGAATTTAGTAACGAGATTCCATCACCATGCACCACATAAACCGAACAATAACAGACCATTTTGAGATACAAGTATTCAGATTTATACACAGTTTTAGGCATCAATAATCTTTTCTAGCAATGTTTTTCAGGAACATAACACAATCATACAGATTCTTATCATAAAAATAGACAATTTGCAATAAGCTCATGCAAGATAAGCTAAACTCAAGTGTTGATTCCTCGGTGTTTCCGAAAAGAAGAAAATGGCGCAAAATGTAACAACAGTGAAACATTAAGAGGTGATATTCACAAGTATAATTTCAAGCAAGGCATCCACCAGGCAATAAATTCCAGCAGCTTGACAATTTAATCTAAGAATCTGTAAAGCAAAAACTAATTTCAACTACAGATACAAGAACCAACAAGAAACGGATATTAACCCAGGAAAAAAAGTTCAAGCTTCAACGAAATTTGGTAAAGAAACCTGCCAACACAGCGAAAACAAATTCAACCCAGTTTCTGAATATTGGTCTAGATGTACAAGGAAACAATAAATAAATAAATTATTGGGAAAAAATAACAGATCAAGCAAAAAATAGTGCTAAATCCCTAACAAATAGACTACCTGGATGGTCATGGCCTTCTTATTAGAGTCAAGCTGGCTACCTATCGAAACAAAAGTAAAACAAAGAAAAGCTTACGATGAACAAAAGATCTAATCAGAAGAAAGTTCTTTTGTTTAAAAGGAAAAGGAAAGACGAAAACGATATAGATAAGAGGTGGAAAGGCAGAAAGATTGTAAAACCTTTGGCGGCGGCCTTTTGCTTTTCCAAGTTCTTCTCACGAGCCATCTTGGATTTTTGGGCATTTCCTCCTCCCATGGCGGATTGATAAAGATCGGTGAAAACAGTTTCTGATCGAATGGGATTACGAAGGGTTTGAAGAACTTGGAAAAGAGATGAGTTCCTTTTTACAAGGCAAGGATGACTATGAAATATAATAGAGCACAATGCGAACAAATTGGGTAAATTACACTAAAGATCCTTAACTATGATCAAATAATTGTATTACTCATTAAAGTTTCAAAGGTTACAGAAATTATGAATTATAATAAAATAATCAATAAATGTATTGAATTGTTACAAAATTTGATTTTTTTTGTTGATCTTGCTTTTCACCGAAGTAGCCATCTAAATAAGACCCAATAAGATATCAAAATTCACAAAATAAAATTCAATTTTTATCACTTTTATCCAATTTTTAGGGTAAACAACATTGATGGTCCCTTTTGTTTTTGGTCTATTCAATTTCGGTCACTAACTTTCAAAATTTAACATTTTGATTACTTACATAATTGATTCAATACAATACGATCTCTGAAACGTTAACTCCCATGACCCCGATAACAGAAGTTTAACTTGGTACTAAAAAGTTATTAAATCCATCTTTTGCACTTATTTGTACATATACATATTAGGACTAAAAACCTTAACACTCATTTATTTTTGGGTGTTAGAATTTTTAATCCCAAAAGATATTACAATGTATTAGGGGTTTTAATCCCAAAAGGTATTCTATATATAATATCAAGTCAAACTTGGCTTACTGGATCAAAAACTAACAAACCTGAAACATAAGGGACCACCAATGTTGTTTACGCTTTTTTTACTAGTTTCGGCAGATTCCTTAACCAAACCAACCAATTCACGAGTCAACCAGTTGGACTGCTCAATCCGGGTCTTTTTTTCAACCATGGTTTGTGGTAAAAAGAAGTTGAAAATGGTCGTGAATTCATAAAGAATTGTCCTTGCCAAAACAAAAGTTTACATGATAATTAGCACAAAACACTCTTAATCTGTATATTCTTACAACTGCATCGACTAGTCATATTGGTCTCGGTCTCTAATCCACTTTGTAGCAACCCATTTCTCCCCTTTGATCACTGGACAGCTTCCATGAAGAGATGTCTGCAAATAATGTTCCCAAACAGAGAAAACATCAGCGATACCCCAATGGAACATTCCTATAGACTGTTAACACAGACATCAGATTCGATGAATTAAGTTTGATTTGAAAATATTGAAAATTACCGGATCTATCGTGCCATTCACAAAGAGTGAATAGAATAAAAGTCCATCCCCTCTTCGTGGCTTTATTTTTAGGCCGACACACTGTCTGTAGTCGTAACCTTTGATTCTCCTGTCATTCTGCAACCAAAATAATGGGGTCAGTACCAAAACCTGGCAACAATATTTACTATTGACGAAACGTGGGAGAGAGGAAGCAAATTAGTATTCCCGAATTTACCTCAAAAGGGAACATTGTTTCTCCACCTTCTTCTACATCAGATAAATACAACAAGAACGATGCAACCTGCAAGAGACAGTTCAACATCAACTACGCACAATGTATTAGTTCTTTGGAATCAGTATTTGCACGATGGTTTGGCAAAAGTTATAGAAGACACAATGTCGGAAAGAATATATGTTCTTGGAAAACTAAAACCAGACTAGAAGAATCCACAATGAACCAGCTGCAACTATGAAGCACCAAAAGAATAATCTATAAATAAAAAAAATTCTGCATCGTGCCACGAATGAAGAACTAAAAATGCTAACTACATAGAACCCAGAAAAAAACCAATTATTCTATAAGAAAAAGATTTTATAATACATCTATTATAAAGAAACACAGAACTTAGGTCTTTCCCAAAAAAGCATAGAACTTAAAAGTCATATACTCGTATATGAAAACAAAACTAACTGGAATCTACATCCAACCATACTTACAGGCAGATAGAACAATAATTATTTCAGTTTGCCACAAATTGCACATAAAAATATCCAGAAACTAAGATTAAACAGGCATGTAATGATGAGGTTCACGTGTAAAACCATACTCTTTGGCTTGACTGCAGACCATATTCAGATGGATTGAACGAATCATAATGAGAATCATACTTCTGCCCAATCTCATACCTCAAAATATTAAATGCCTGCAATACAAGAATGTCAACCTAGAGCAGTTCAAAAACAAACAATAGGAAAAAATTTCCCAATTCAAAATTTCAACACAAACTGGGAATGTACCAAGAAAATAATTGCAGGGTATTGGTTTATCATTAGACACTACAAGATTCACAAGTTAGTGAAATCAGTTCAAATCAAAAAAAGTATACTGTAGCCATATCAATAACATGATTTCCAACATCCAGACACATTTAAATCAATAAAACCATTAAAGTTTTTTTTAAATGTGGACAATGCATTTACCTATATCCCTGTGGGTGATATGGTAGTAAAAGAGTGTTTTCCAATCCACCCTTTCTAGAGACGGACCTCTTAAACAACTTAACTATGATATATGATTCTAATAATCTTTCTAGGGACAGTTCAATTAACATGGCCGTCAGCTACAAGTATGTAACTTCAAACAATTTAAATCATTTCAAACAATTTAAATCTTTTCAGCATGATATGGTAACTCTTGCCACAGATGCCATAATACATTTAAGGAAGTACATATCCGAAATTTCAAACAAAAACAGATCAGAATTGTGGAGACTATTTAGGATTGAAGAGCAGATTTGGATACAAAAGTCAAGAGTGAAATGGATAAAAGATGGTGATCGTAATACAAAATTTTTTCACTCTTGTGCCCCAATTAGGAGGAGGTTGAATTCATTGAATGCTCTCAAGGTTAAAGCTGAAATTATTTATGATCCGATCCTAATCAAAGCGAGTGTCCGGGATAAATTTTTTGAAGCTTATAATTCAAACTCTACTTTGGAAGTGGAAGATATGAACCTGAATTTTACAAGAATCGCTTTAGAGCAAAGCATCACTTTAGAGAAGAGGTTTACGGAAGAAGTATGGGAGGCTTTGAATTCGTGTGATAGTAACAAAGCGCCAGGACCGGATGGGCTGAATATGGGATTTTTCAAAAGGTTTTGGTCCACATTGAAAGACGATATCATGGAATTTTTCATAAATTCTATTTGGGAAAAAATTGGGAGCATGGTATTAATCACACTTTCATAACCCTCATCCCAAAAGGTTCTAATATTGGTGGTTTAGATGATTTTAGACCTATTAGTTTAGTAGGTGGAATGTATAAGATCCTTTCGAAATGTCTTTCGAGAAGGTTGAGGAGTTGCATGGATGATGTTATTAGTGATTCACAATTTGCCTTCGTTCCCGGTCGACAAATCTTGGACTGCTCATTTATAGCTAATGAAGGAATAGATTTTTGGAGAAAGAAAGGTTTGAAGGGATGCGTATTTAAGGTTGATTTTCGGAAGGCTTATGATACGGTGGATTGGGATATTCTTTTTAAAGTAATGGATAAAATGGGTTTTGGAGAAAAATGGTGCAGTTGGATAAGAAGATGTGTGACTACAGCCTCGGTGTCAGTTTTGGTTAATGGTGTGCCTACAGAGGAATTTCCAATGACTAGAGGACTTAGACAGGGCTGCTCCCTTTCCCCATTGTTGTTTAATTTAATAGCAGAGCTTCTTAATCTAATTCTCCATAAGGCTGTCTCTTTGGGGCTGTTCAGTGGTTTGGTTGTAGGTAAAGAGAACGGTTTTATGTTATCTCATCTTCAATTTGCAGACGACCTAATAATTTTCTGCAATGCATCCAAGACGCAAATTTTAAACATAAAGAGAGTACTAAGAGTTTTTGAAGTTATGTCCGGTTTACAACTTAATCTCAGCAAAAGCAAGTTATTTGGAATCAACATTGGTGAGGAAGATATCAAGGAGTGGGCAGGTGATCTTGGGTGTGCAATGGGTACTTTCCCGTCTGATTATTTAGGTCTGCCACTTGGAGCAAACAGAAATCCTGCTGCTTTGTGGGATCCGGTAGTTCAGAAATTTTTTAATAAGTTGTCCGGTTGGAAGGCAAGAACACTCTCTTTGGCAGGAAGATTGGTAATGTTGAAGTCGGTATTGTGCTCTCTTCCTACTTACTTTCTGTCTATGTTTAAAATTCCAGAAGCAGTGAATTCGAGGTTAAACTCAATCATGGCTAATTTTTTATGGGGAGGTGTTGTAGAGTCTAAGAAAATACACTGGGTAAACTGGTCTACAGTGTGTAAACCTAAAGGCTGTGGTGGTCTGGGTGTGTTGAACATTAATTTTATGAATAGGGCGTTATTAGAGAAATGGTTTTGGAAGTTTGCTAATGGTAGAGATTCATTTTGGAAGAAGATGATTTGTGCCAAATACAATCTGAACAATAATCTGATTTTTTTCAATAGCAAATTACCAAATAATGCTTCTTGGTTGTGGAAATCTGTAGTTAATAATCATTATAAAGATGATCAGTTTGGTGAGAAGGTTCGAAGCATGTTTCAAATTAAAGTGGGTAATGGGATGAGCATCAGGTTTTGGCTCGATATTTGGGCTTTAGATCATCCTTTGAAGACTGCTTTTCCGAGAATTTTTGCTCTTTCTTTGAATCAGTTAGGGACATTAAGTGAGTTTGGTGAGTTCAAATCTTCAGGGTGGACTTGGTATGTGCAATTGAGAAGAAATCTGTGTGATTGGGAGAAAGAACAATTTTCAAATTTTCTAACCATCATTCATAATTATAGTCCATTCCAAAACTCCAAAGATGGTTTGATTTGGGGAGGGCACGGGGAAGGTATTTTTTCTGTCAACTCTTGTTTGAAGACCTGTTTTCTTGAATCGACAGAAGACAAATTTTGGGAAAATTGTATTTGGAGGGGGCTGGTCCCTCCAAAAGTAGAAACTTTTATATGGCAATTAGCGCATCAAAAATTGGAGGTAAAGTTGGAATTACAGAAAAGAGGGGTTTCTGGGATTAATGATATTTCTTGACCTATGTGCAAAAAAGAGTTTGAAGTCACTCATCTTTTTTTCTCCTGTTCGGTTGCATGGTCCCTCTGGAATAAGTTTCTGAAATTTTGGAAACTTCGTTCGGTTCTTCATATTAATGCCCAAGGATTTCTACTTGCTTGGCATGATATGGTGCCTGCTTTTTCTATTTGGTCCTTAATTCCGGGAGTAGTGCTTTGGACTATTTGGAAATTCAGAAACGAAGTGGTGAATGATCCACCTATTGCAGATTCTTGCTTTTCTACTACTAATTCGGTACACAAAGTTATCCCCTGGATCACCTCTCCTAAGGGTTATTTAAAATTGAATGTGGATGCGGCAGTTTGCAAGGATTGGCGCAAGAGTGGTGTAGGTGGCTTATTAAGAGATGAGTTTGGCGATATCAAGGGTTCTTTCAAGGAAACAGCTGGTCCAGGCCCTCCTACTTTGTTGGAACTTATAGCCATCAAAAGGGGTCTAATTATCATTGATTTTATTCTTCAGAGTTTTAAGTCTCGGTGGATTGTTGAATCTGACAGCAAATTTGCAGTGGATTGGGCTAAGAACTTGGACAATTGTACTGCAGGTTTTCGCGATTTAGTCAAAGAAATTGTTGATATGATAAAGGTTTTCCAGGGTGCTATCAGATGGGTGGACAGAACTGCTAATATTGAAGTAGATACCTTAGCTAAGGCTGGTATTGGGTAGTTTTCTTTTGTTTGTTGGGTTTTGACGTTTTTTTTCCCTTAATGTTAGATGTGTTATTTGGTGTGTTTCGGGTTGTTTTTGTAAGGGGACTGTTTGTTTTAAACATTATGTAATCTTTCAGTTATGAATGAAATTTGAGGCACTCTTTTCCTCCTTCCGCTGATTAAGGAAAATTGATCGGTGTTCCTTTAATCATGAAGGGGGGTTTTAACGAGGCCTCCACCTCCTATAAAAAAAACAATTGCTTTGGTCGGGATGATTACAAAGTTATGATTAAACTGTCTTTGAAAGTTTCTTCAGAGAATGTTTGGACGGCGTTCGTTGATCACCTCAGTAAACGAGTGTCTCGACGAGAGTTAAGGGAGTTGTTTTCATCTCACGGTCCGGTAGTCAGAGTGTTCATTCCCAGAGAACAAGGATCCGAAATACAAATTCTTTACTTTTGCTTTTGTGCATTTTGGCAATGAGGAAAGTCTAAAAAGGGCGATAGCCAAACTGAATGGTTCGATGATTGATGGTTGGAGGATTTCAGTGGGTACTGCAAGATACAAGGATGCTAGGGTGAGGTCAGTCGGGAACAATACTTCCATGATGTTGCCTTCAAGGTCGAACACAGAAGATCATTCAAGGTCCAAAGAGAAAGGTGTTATTAACAGGAGTGTAAGAGATACAAGATCTTACAAGGAGGCCTTACTGTCTGATAGATTGAAGAGCAATGCATCGGACCATAGGGATCGGTCGATCGATGGTTTCAACAGGAGGAAAGGTATAAAAAATAGTTGGGAAATGCATATTCCGTCAGAGAGCTCCAGTTGGGTGAAGAGATCATTAACGGGGATCATCAAACATTCTTTTGAGTTCGAATTAGTCCGAAGGCCTTAGTTAATGAAGGTTTTGATGTCCAGATTTCCAGATGGGGTTATGTCTGGAATTCTTGTGTTATTATATTTAGTCGACGGAAGAAATGATGGATGCTGGCTAGAGAAAAAGGATGAGTTATTTTTCTGGTTTGATAGATTGGCACTTTTATTGAACGATGATGGTGTTCCAATGGCTTTTTGCCTCGTACATCTGTTTGGGGTTCCATTGTTATGTTGGCAAAATTCTTTTTTGGAACGGGTGTAGGAAAGTGGGATTGGTGGAAGAGATTCATGAAGATACAGTCAACAGAACAGACCTATCGATGGTGAAGATTTGGTTAGGGTGGCCAGCCTTATGATGTCCCTGAGGAGATAACTATTGGATCCTATGGAAGGTCGTTCAAAGTCAGATTAAGCTGGGTTCGGTGCTTGAGTATTCTCAGTTTCCTTTAACAAGTCGCCGGTGGGAGGCTCCGATGAGAGAAAAGTTGGAGAGAAACTTTCTGGAGACAGTCTGTCAGATAGCATGGAAAGTGCTGAACGTTCAGAAGAAACAGCAACAAAAGGTAGATATTTGGTTTGACC